GTATAATCTAGCTTCCTTCCCAGGGCTCACTAAGAAGGGGATCTAGCCCATCTGTACTTCTTCCATTTCATCTTGGCCACTCTCCTCCTTTTTCATGGTGGGGCTGCCCCTGGATGATATTTCGATTGATTGACGGGATGATTCAAAACCGATAGCTCTTCTGCCTGGGCAATCGGAAAGATAATGTCGATCCACATAAAGAATGTGCAGGACTAAAAAGCTGGGATATTCTTTCCCTCGAAGTAGTGTATAAAACAGTAATATCTATTAGGAAATGTTTCTATGAAAGCTATTTACTACTCTCAGTGTATTTGCAATGACCTTAACTAAGAATTTACTGAAATCCTTGTCAGTGTATTTACAATGACCTTAACTAAGAATTTGTCTTTTTTTTAAAAATCCAAAACATTGTTGCTGTGATCTTTACTTGCTACTGAAAGGCTAGTAAGTATCCAGTCTTCTCACTAGGTTTTTTATTTTCTTTATAAATAAAAAGTTGACCTATTAAAAGGACACCTTTTCAAGATTGTTAAAGCAAGAGTCATTTATAACATGATTGGGAATGGAAGGGCCATATTTTTTTCTTCCAGTTTAATTTCCTTTTTTTAATTTAATTTTTTTATTTTAGTGATTAAACTATCTTAGTTTCTCTTATTTTTAGAATCTTTGTTTTATCAGCTAACTATTGCTGTGTAACAAGGTACCTCAAAACTTATCAGCTGAATACAACAAGCATTATCTTGGAGAGTTTCCGAAGAGGAGTCTGGTGATGGCTTGATTGGGTGGTTCTGGCTCAGGGTCTCTCATGAGAGTACTAGAGGCCCAGTGCACGAAATTTGTGCACTGGAGTGGGGTCTCTCAGCCCCCATCCTGGGGCTGCCCAACTGATGGCTCGCTGTAGGGAGCGGGCCTAAGCCAACAGATGGACATCCTTAGCACTTCCGTGGATGCAGGAGAGGCTCCCGCTACCACTGCTGTGCTCGCCAGCCATGAGCCCAGCTTCTGGCTGAGAGTGCTCCCCCTGTGCAAGCACATTGACCACGAGGGGCAGCTCCTGTGTTTAGCGTCTACCCCAGGGGTGGGCAAACTTTGACTCGAGGGCCACAATGGGTTCTTAAACTGGACCGGAGGGCCGGAACAAAAGCATGGATGGAGTGTTTGTGTGAACTAATATAAATTCAAAGTAAACATCATTATATAAAAGGGGACGGTCTTTTTTTTTTTTTAGTTTGCCCACGGCTGGTCTACCCCCTGGTGGTCATTGCGCATCATAGTGACCAGTCCTTCCATCGTTCGTCAATTTGCATATTAGCCTTTTATTAGATAGGATAGTCACGTGATAGGTTGGGGCTACAGTCATCTGAAGGACCCACTTCTAAGCTCACCGTTATGCCTCTTGGAAGGAGGCCTCAGTGTCTTTTATAACCCAATCTTGGAAATGATGTACCATCATCTCTGTCATATGCTATTGGTCATACAGACCAACCCAGAAACAGTGTGGGAGGGGACTAGACAGTCTGGGAATGCCAGCTGGAGGGAGTAACTGAGGGCCATTTTGGAGGCGGACTATCAAAATTGTGGTGATACATGTGATTTACCCACAATGTGGACTTGGCAGGGAAATGTATACACATTTCTTTCCAAAATATAGAATGGCATGATGAAAATATTGCTTAATGTCTTAATAGTATGTTCACGTTATTAATTCCCTTTATTTAACCTATTATTACCACAGTTTGCCAACATTTTAATAACTGGCATAGCATTTCTAGAGGATTATTTAAATAATTACAAAACATTAAACAAAATGTCTGTTGGATCAATGAATATTAATGATTGGCAGCACATTCCAGAATACAGTTCATTTCAGAAAAGCAATTTGCTTTGTTTCCTCATGACAGTGACCACGAAATTTGAATTAAATTAAAATGAGCAATCCTTGCCCTAACCGGTTTGGCTCAGTGGATAGGGTGTCGGCCTGCGGACTGAAAGTTCCCAGGTTCAATTCCGGTCAAGGACATGTACCTTGGTTGTGGGCACATCCCCAGTAGGGAGTGTGTGGGAGGCAGCTGGTCGATGTTTCTCTCTCATCGATGTTTCTAACTCTCTATCCCTCTCCCCTCCTCTCTCTGAAAAATTAATAAAATATTTTTTTTAAAAAAAATGAGCAATCCTTTTTTAAAATTATAAGTTATTTCTTAAAACTTTTTGGTATGTTTTAGGCATCTTGAGAGTTCTGCTGATTGTTTACTTATTTTAAAAGATGAACAGAAACCAATGTTATAGAAGATAAAGATTTGTATAGATTAAACATTGAGAAAATATGCCTAACTTTTGTTTTATATTTCCAAACTCAAGTTGCCACAAACCAGACTACTCTAGTTCCTTATCCGATAGTTCTGTGGAACCATGCGTTGGTAATACCTTATATCTGTGATATTATAACACATAGCCTACTTTCATTTTAATTCTTACAATATGCTAACCACTCCTCACATGTTAGTATCAACTAAACATGTAGAACCACATGTAGCATTTTATTTTAATATATTTATATATTATTTTTTAAATCTTCATCTGAGGATATTTTTTATTGATTTTTAGAGAGAGTGGAACAGAATGGAAAAGACAGAAATATCAATGTGCGAGAAACACATCGATTAGTTGCCTCCTGCACGTGCCCTGACCAGGACTCAGGCCAGGGAGGAGCCTGCAACCGAGATATATGCCCTTGACCAGAACCCACTGGTCCACAGGCCGAA